GTCAATATGTAGCTTTATTTTCTGTTTGTTTCTGGCTAAAGACACCTTATTTAATGCACTCAGTTGATTCACTATTACCGAATTCAGGGCCCACAGAAGTGTAATTCATACCTGTGCGAAGCTCACCTAACATGTCTTTTCTCTGCGACGCACATCACAGCCCGGAGTCCTTAGTGACCCGGGACAGCCCCTAAGCAATATGCTTGGGGATCATTTTATTTTATTTTTTAATTTTTTTGCTTGGGGATCATTTTAAACAGCAAAATCAGCAGCAAAAAAACCTCCACAAAAATGGAAAAATATGGCACACGGTCGACTGGGAACAAGTGTTTATGCTATGAGAGCTGAAACTGGAAGGCATGGCGTCATCTTGTTGACCTCAGCTGAGAACAGTGCTCGCGTTGTTTCTGGTGAGGTATCTACTGTCACACTTCCCTGTGTTCCTCTTCACATTATCACTGGCTTGGAGCACCATTTGATTAGGTTGTGCTTCTGTCTAGGTTCATTTGTTTGGCATTCGTTGAGCTTCTGGGATCTCTGGGATAATTGTTTTTTAATTAAATCTGGGAAAATGTTTGACCATTATTTCTTTAAATATTTTTGTCTCTCCTACGCAGCACCTCTCCCTTGTGGAAGTGCCATGAGCCCACGGTGTTCTATTTTTTTATACTCCCTCTTCTCTCTGTGTTCCATTGTGGTAATTTTTTTTTTTTATTGTCATGTCTTTAAGTTCATCCATCTCTTCCTTCCGCCATGTTTAGCATAATGTTAATCCCAGCAGTCACTGTCTTTTTTTCATCTCACACATGGTAGTTTTTATATCTAGAATTTTGATTTGGGTCTTTTTACATCTTCAATATCTGTACTTAACTTTTGAGTACCTATGTATGTCTTACAGTTATAATAGCTGTTTGAATATTCTTGCCAGTGATTTTAACACCTGTGTCAGTTCTTTGGATTGATTGGCTATTCTCCTCATTATGCGTTGGTATCTTCATGCTCCTTGAGTGTTGGACATTCTTTGATTGGATACCAGGCACTGTGACTTTTACTTGGATGTTTGATATTTTCCTAGAAATTTTCTTGAGCTTTATTTGGGATGCAGTGAAATTACTTAGAAATGGATATTTTCAGGGGCGCCTGGGTGGCTCAGTTGTTAAGCATCTGCCTTCGGCTCAGGTCATGATCCTAGGGTCCTGGGATCGAGCCCCGCATTGGGCTCCCCGCTCAGCAGGAAGCCTGCTTCTCTGTGTCTCTCTCTGTCAAGTAAATAAGTAAAATCTTAAAAAAAAAAAAAAAGAAATGGATATTTTCAGGGCTCGCTTTAAAGATTTGTTAGACAGGACTGGAACACTTCTCAGTCTAGGAACAATTATTTCCTGTTGCTGAAACAAGACTTTTTTTTTTTTTTAACGATTTTTATTTGAGAGAGAGAGAGAGAGCGCATGAGCAGGGGGGATGGACAGAGGGAGAAGCAGAATCCCCGCTGATCAGGGAGACTGAGGCTGGACTTGGTGGGACTTGATCCTGGGACTCTGGGATCATGATCTGAGCCTAAGGCAGACGCTTAATGGACTGAGCCTCCCAGGCGCCCCGCCTGACACAAGACTTTTCTGAACATGCTACCGAGTGCTCTGTGAATCTTGAGTTTTTCCAGTCTGGCTGCTGGGAACAGGCACTATTCCTGGACCCCCGGTGAACACTGGGCATTGTTAAGTCTAATCCTTTCAAGTGGTTATTTCTCTAGCTTCCAGTAGATCCCCCCCATCCCCTCACTGATCAGTACACTGGGGAGTACTCAACGGGGAGCCTCTGCAGATCTCCAGAGTTCTCCCCGCCCCCCAGTGTTCTTTGCATAGCTGCCTTGGGTGCCCCCCTCCCACCTTTCAGCTTCACTTGCTCACCTCAGGGAGCCTGTGACGTTCTGCCAAGGTTCCCCTTCTCTGAACTGTGGCCTAGAAACTCTCTGAAGGCCACAAGCAGAGCCATGATAGGACTCATCCCATTTGGTTTCCATCTATCAGCGGTCCTGCCCTTTGTGGCCTGGTGTCCAATGTCCTGAAAACTGTCCTTTCATATTTTTGCCCATCTTTGGTTGTTCAGGTGGGAAGGGCAATCCCTATTAGTCTATCTTGGCCAGAAGGACAAGTGAGCACATGCATTTAATAACATTCTTCTATAATTAAAAGAAAAATATCTGTTACATCTTTAAGTTGCTTCCCTTTATTTATTCTGTATTTTTCTTTCTTTTATTCATTCTTCCTAGAATGTTGTCTCTTATTAAGCTTTTCAGAGAACAGAATTCTGATTGTGTTCATCTTCTTCATAATTTTGTCTCTATTGACTTCTGCTGCAGTTTTTTTTTTAATTTTTTTTTTTAAAGATTTTATTTATTTGACAGAGAGAGACACAGCGAGAGAGGGAACACAAGCAGGGGGAGTGGGAGAGGGAGAAGCAGGCTTCCCACTGAGCAGGGAGCCCGATGCGGGGCTCGATCCCAGGACCCTGGGATCATGACCTGAGCCGAAGGCAGACGCTTAACCAACTGAGCCACCCAGGCGCCCCCTGCTGCAGTTTCTTGCTAGTCTTTTCTTTCTCCCAAGCCCTGTATTGGGGATTACTCCATTGATTGTTTTCACTTTCTGAGCTGCATATTTAGCTCTGATATGGTCGAAGCTTTACATTACTTTCTAGGACAACTATAGCTGCATCACGCGGTATTTCGTATATAGTGCTTTCATTGGTAGTAATCTTTAAATTGTCATTATTTTCCTCATGATTTTCTTTTTTTAAATTATTTTATTTTATTTTTAAGTAAGCTCTACATCCATCGTGGGGCTTGAACTCATGACCCTGAGATCAAGAGTCCCATGCTCTACCGACTGAGCCAGCCAGGCGCCCCTCTCATGATTTCCTTTTTCCTTTTTTTAAAGCTTTTATTTATTTAATCATTTAGAGAGCAGGTGAGTGGGGGAGGGGCAGAGGGAGAGAGAATCTCCAGCAGACTGAGCTGAGCATGGAGCCGTGGAGCTGACGCAGGGCTTGATCCCACGACACTGAGATCATGACCTGAGGCAAAATCAGGAGTCAGATGCTCAACCGACTGAGCCAACCAGGCGCCCCTATGATTTCCTTTTTAATAGGAGGACCATCTTCTAGAGTTTTGTCGTTTCAGAACTACGGGATTTTTTGTAGAAGTTGATTTTAGTATTATAGATGTGTGGCTCAAGAACAGAAGGTATAATGTTGATTCCTTGAGTTTACTGGTCTTCCTTTGTGGCCTTCTTCCTGAATGTTTCTTAAGTGCTCAATAAGAATGAATGTTCTCGGCTGGTAGTTGTAAAATTCATCATATTGCTATTAGATCAAGATTATCAGTGGTGAGGCGCTTGGGTGGCTCAGTCAGTTTGAGCATCTGCCTTCGGCTCAGGTCATGGTCCCGGGGTCCTGGGATTGAACCCCGCGTCGGGCTCCCTGCTTAGTGGGGAGTCTGCTTCTCCCTTTGCCTCTCTCTCTCTGTCTCTCATGAATGAATAAATAAAATCTTAAAAAAAAAAAGGTTATCACTGGTCATAGCCAAATATCCTGTAATTTTTGCTTAATTTTGCCTCTATAAGCTATCGGCTTCTTAAGAGGAATGTTTGAAAACCTCTGGTTTCCCATGAAGTTGGTCAACTGTTGTTTTACGTATTAAGGGCTCCTCATTATCTTCTTCTTCTTTTTTTTTTTTAAAGACTTTATTTATTTATTTGACAGAGAGAGAGACAGCAAGAGAGGGAGCACAAGCAGGGGGAGTGGGAGAGGGAGAAGCAGGCTTCCTGCCGAGCAGAGGACCCGATGCGGGGCTTGATCCCAGGACTCCAGGATCATGACCTGAGCCAAAGGCAGATGCTTAATGACTGAGTCACCCAGGCGCCCTCTCATTGCATCTTCTTGATTATTTTTTATTTTAACTGTATATAAATCTCTCTGTCCCTTATATAATATTTTAATTAATTAGTTAGTTAATTAATTAATTTTTGAGAGAGCACACCAGCAGGGGAATGGGCAGAAGGAGAGGGAGAGAGAGAATCTCAAGCCGACTCCGTGCTGAGTGTGGAGCCCATGTGGGGCTCTTACAATCCTGAGATCATGACCTGAGCTGAAATCAAGAGTCAGAGGCTTAGCTGACTGAGTCCCTCAGGTGCCCCCCTCTTGCATAATCTTTGCCTTTGATTTTATGATCTGATAGAAAATTGCTATCCCACCTTTCTTTTGCATCAGATTTGTCTGGTATTTCATTCCTATTCCTTTATTACCAATGTATCTGCCTCTTTTTTTTAGTATCTAGTATATTTCTGGACCTTAACTTTTTTACCAATGTGAAAGTTCTTGCTTGTCTGGTGTGTTCAACCTGTTCACACTCAATTGCAAATGCTATCATATTAGGACTCGATACTGCCCTTTGGTTTTGTATTCTCTATTTATCATACTTTCCTTTTGTTTTTCACCTTCCATGGGGTAGAATGCATGTCCTTGTCCTTTCAAGGGCTCCAGCGATTAGATTACTCTGGGGCATATAATCCAGAAGATCTCTATTTTAAGGTCGATAAAAGCAATGACATCTTCAAGCGCCTGAGGAGCACTACCTGGATTGTTTTCAGTCATATAACCAGGAGGCGGGAATCCTGGAGGTGCAGCTGGCTGGGAATTGTGCCCGCACACCGGGGTCCAGCCAACGCGTGCGCAGGGCCGTGGGCCGCCGCGAGGGGGCGCCTCGAGTGGGCTGCAGCGTGGGCGGGCCCATGGCGTCCCCCCCGCGGCCCCCTGGGCCTCCTGCTCAGGCTCCTGCTCCTCCAGCCCCAGCTCGATGGGGCCAGGGGAGGGGGTGGGGGGGCGAGGCCGGGCTGGGCTGCTCACGGGGTGGGGAGTGGAAGGGGGAGGTTTGCTGGGGGTGCCAGGGGAAGGGGCCGGCGAGGGAGTGCGCTCGGGCCAGCTCCTGTCTCACTGATCTTCCCCAGGTGAGGGTTACAGTCCCAGCGCGGACTCTGCAATGATCCTGGCAAGCCCAGAGGCGCCGTCGCCACCAGGGCCCCCCGAGTCCCCGCGGATGCCAATATCCACTGCGGCTATAGCACTTCTAACACTCACAGTGAAGTCCAGCCAGACCACTGTATTTGGAACGTTCTCTCCTCAAGGTACTGCTTCTGGGCAGGTCTGGACAGGTCCGCCTGGGAGGCCAGAGGGGAAGCTGCTTGGCTGGGGAGCTACAAGGGTCAGCCTCTGTCTTGAAGGGTTGGAGAGGAAACCTGGCTCTGCACGCAGGTGGCTGGCCAGGGGCGCTGGGCGGGGAACCAGACAGTAGCTTCACCTCCAGTCCCTTCTCTTCAGTGAGCCGACCAGGATGCGGCCAGAGGTCTATGAGGATAGCCGGTGGAATGCCCGCGGCAGAGCGGAAGTGGCCCTGGCAGGTGAGCCTGCGGATCAATGATAGACACATATGTGGAGGCTCCCTCATTGCCAGTCGGTGGGTGCTGACCGCCGCCCATTGCATAATTAGGTGAGTGTCGGGGGCTCTGTGACCTGGAGCCAGTCCTGTCCCCGTCCCCGAGCTTCCCCTTCTCCTCCGAAAAGGAGTCACAGCCCCCTAGGTTTTATTCAGTCTGGAGTGACACCTGGAAATTCGCATGTCTACCAAGTTCCCTGGGGCTGCTTTGGTAGTCTCGAGACCTCACTTGGAGAACCACTGGCTGGAGTGGTTCGGGGCTGGGGACTGGATGTGGTGTGCAGGCAGGCAGGGGCCTGATGCTGGCCGAGGAGACAGGACCAGGCTGGGAAGAAGCTGGAAACTGTGGAAAGGGGAGTGTAGACCCTCTGGGATCTCTGGGACGGGCATGTCCTCTTCCCACAGCCACGAGGAATATACAGTGAGGCTGGGAGACAAACTGGGACATTCTCATTCCGAAACAATGCTGGTGGTTCCGGTGGAAGACATCATTTGCCATCGCTTTTACGATGATAGAACTTTGAGACATGACGTTGCCCTCGTTCTGCTGGCCTTCTCTGTGAATTACTCCTCGTACATCCAGCCTGTGTGTCTCCCCGAAAGGTCTCTCCACGTGGAAAGTGGGACAAAGTGCTGGGTGACTGGCTGGGGCCAACTGGCAGGTGAGACTGGTAAGTGGGGAGCTGAGGGGGCAGCCTGGGGTGCTGGCGTTGGCCCACAGGCTGTCCCACCAGGGACAGGGAGGCCTTTAACGGGGGACAAGAGAGGATGAGGAGGTATTGCCAGGGAGTAACAGAACCTCTAGGAATTGCTTAATGAGGGCCGCCTGGGGGCTCAGTCAGTGAAGCATCTGATTCGGCTCAGGTCATGATCCCAGGGTCCGCGCTCAGTGGGGAGTCTGCTTCTCCCTCTCCCTTGACCCCTCCCCCTACTTGTGCGTGCTCTCTCTCTCTCTCAAATAAAAGAAAATCTTTAAAACAAGAATTGCTGTGAGAATGTTAGCACGTGGGGGCTTGGGGGCCAGGGATGGTGGGTTCTATCCAGCATGGATTTCAGCGCCAGGGGGGATGAGCTGGCTGCCGGTCAGAGCTGCCCCTCCATGGAAGTCCCTGCTTGGTGGGGAGGGAGCTGCTCGTGCCAGGGGGTGGGGGCTGAGCCAGAGCAACCCTCCTGGTGAGGCTGGAGGGCCTCCTATCTCGGGGAAGAGGCTGGACTGGAAGCTTTGGGGTCACTCCCTGTCTGAGAGTCTGTGATTCTGCTCGGCACAGGACACCTGTCATTTACTCTTGGGACTCAAGAGTGACGCTTGCTTTTCTCTTCTGGTTTGTAAGGCCTGGCCTCTTTCTGTCCTGAGGGGTCCCTCCTTCTCCTGTCATGACCTTTCTTACCTCTTCTTCTCCCTCTCCCCTCACCCCCACAGCCTCCGTTCCCTCCTGTCAATGGGACAGTATCCATTGCCCCGACTGCCTCTGAGGGGGTAAGAGTGTGAGGGCACAGAAGGGGTTTGAGGGGCTCCTGTGCTGTCCACTTACGCAGACCCCGACTTTGTCGCTCCAGCACTCGTGTCAGTTCATCTTCAGGAGACCAAGCAACTCATTCTTCGCTCAAGAAATGTAACGAGATACTGCGGACACGGTTAGGAACATTTCGCAACCTAGTGAAAAACGGGATGGTCTGTGGCTATCAAGAAGGGAAGAGTCTCTGCAAGGTCGGTTCCTGGCTCCGTTGTGGCTTCTTCAGTAAGAGTGTCCCTCCCAGGCTTCCTCATTCCCAAGTGCCAGGGCCTGCGTGGTCTGCCACATCCTCCTTTCCCTCCTGAGTGAAGGAGATTCATGGGGAGAACCCCCCGCAGCTCCCCGGAGCTGGCCTGGCTTGCTCCTTGCTGCCTGGGGGCCCTGCCAAGGTGTGGGGAAGTCAGGGGCGGGTAGTCCTAACACTCTATGTTCCTTGAATTGAGTTCCCCCTATGTGGCACTTCCTGTGTGAGCCAGTGGGAGCATTTACCCCCATGAGCTCTGTTAACCCCGTCATAAGCCTGCCACATAGACATCATAGCTGTCACACAGACGAGGGGAGGTCCAAAGGTGCTAGCTCAGGGACCCCTGTGCGTGCCTGCAGGCCTCCTGGGCCCGCCGTCTTCCTCCTGCTCCGAGTACCTTCTGCAGGAGGGGGCGTTGGAGCTGGGTCTCAGAGGATGAGTATTTGGATTTCTTGGAAAGAGGAGAACAGCGCTGTAGGGAGAGGGAGCAGCACGGACAGTGGCTCCGAGGTCCTAGGGAGCTTGTCACGTGTAGGGCCTGTCTTCCAGGTCTGGAGCAATGAGGTGGCCAGAGAAGAGGGCTGCAGTCGGAATCCGTGTGGCCTGGAGCACTGGGCCAAGTTTCTCGACGCCATCCGGGCGGGACTGTAGGCTAGGTGTTTGTCTCCATCATCTAGGCGATGATGCGGGGTCCCGAGCAGGACCCGGGGCGGTGAGGGGGTGAAGGAGGTATGTCTGAGGTTGAGTCATGAGTTCTAGGTGACTGCCTGCTGGGAGGGTGGGGGCGAGGGAGAGGTTAGGAGGGCTCTCTGTTTCTGTCTGAGCTGGCTGGTGGGGGCGGGGGCACCAGAGCAGGTCTGGGAGATGGGGTGTATATGGGATGTCTGGGATAGTCTGGAGACAGGGAACTGATATGTGTGTGGTGTTGGCTTTGTGGGTTTAAGGTCAGGGGGAATTTCAGGTTGGAGGTGAGGATTATGGGATCCTCTGATGCAGGGTTGATATTCAAAGTATTTCACATCCATGGAGGCCCAGGACCGGCCAATCAGGACAGACACGAGCCTTAGAGCTGGAGTAGGGCTCTGGAGGCTGCATACTGGGCCAGGGGTACCCCTTTGGTTGCTGGGTCATGGGAGGCCTGGAGAGGACCATGGGGGACAGGTCAGGGGCAATGGAGGAACAGGGGCATTCGAAGAGGATTTCAACACATTATTAACAGTATTGCTGCCCTCGGGCCTACTGGCTATATATTGTGTGTGAGTCCATGAGCACCTGGGAAGCAGGAGTATTTCTCAGAGGTTGTTCAAGTTTTCACTTAGTTTTCAACTCTCAAATATTCCCAGAAACCTAGGGCTGGTGGAGCCTTGCGGGGAGTCCTGGGGAAGCCCCACGAGTGCCCATCTCCCCAACCCTCGCAGTGCGATCAACCAGTTCTGATGTTGATTCTCTTCCATTCCTGTGTTTGTTTCTTTCTCTTTTTCCAGGGAGACTCTGGGGGGCCCCTGGTCTGTGAACTTAATGAAACACGGGTCCAGGTGGGGATCGTGAGCTGGGGCATTGGCTGCGGTCACAGAAATTATCCTGGAGTTTATACAGAAGTTAGTTTCTACAAGGACTGGGTC